GTCATTGATAGCGTGCGCAAAGCGCGACGCTCGTGCTCATCGAGCCTAGGATGTACATGCCCCGGTGCCGCGAGCACACTGTCCGACAGTGCACCGCGTGCGGGAGACGATGTTGGGTTCTGCCAGTGCTCTCTGTCAGAACCAGCGAGACTTGGTGACTTCAGTATCGTGGACGCAAGGCTCATTGAGCAAGGAAGTCGTTTTATTCCAACGATTTAAGTCTAGCGGACACGCGAGCCTCGTTGAGGCAATAATCGATTGGAACTGTATCTTTATTAGGGAGGGTGTAACGGGGTTATACGTACCCTGGTAACGCAAATGTGTGTCACACGAGATGTTCACGGTGTGACTGCACCCAAACAAGAATACGGTATGTGTCTAGGTAGCCAGTGGTTATACATGTATATAGATTTTACTATATATATTTAGGAAAATCTTAACATTTAAAATTGGGCGGCTTTGCCATCAAAATAAATAAAAATCAGTTTTGAATTTAAACCGAAGAGTTTACTAGCCTTGGTTAAGGTACTAACTACTCTTAAAGGTAGCGGATTGCGACCCGCTACAATCGTATTGGTTTTTGTTAAGAACGAAAGGTCGGTGACCTAAATTACACTTCCTCAAGCGCTAAGCTACAGCAGCCCCGCTGTAGATGCTCTGGTATCGTACCTAATATCAGATTACTACGGAGCTCGATCTCGGTTCTACTTTTTCATTCGCTCCGTTCTAACTCCAAAGGACAATAATGTAATGCGTTACTGGGTTGGTACCCTCATCATTATGCCGTTATTCAAGAGTGACAGCTAGTGTTAAAGCATGACCCAAACCGTACCACGTTGCTGTGCAATGATTCGATGTCGCGGTAGTGCGTGTAGCGCAAAACGTGCATCTCGCATTCGCTTTGATCGGTACATGGTATGCTATGATTTGCTGCCAAATCGATGCCAGACTGAGCTTACACGTTGTCCATAAAGTCTTTCACATCCAACCCGAAAGCTCTTGCATACTTCTCAGCAGACCCAGCATGTATTTTGAATGTATACTGTCGTTTACGGTGAACAAACTTGGGCCGTTCCATGGTGCTGGTTCATATTTTACCGACGTGAGCCTTTTTTCAGTTTTCCTTCCGCCTACACTGCAAATCATTATTTCATCTCCATCATTCTTCATTCTCCCGCATGACCTAAAGTTTACGATTCCAATTTATCAAATTCTATACGCTTGCAGCGCAATCAGGACAGCAACCATCGAAATGATACTACTGCCACGTGTGAGATCGTTTTGATGCCGTATAAAAGAGCTTTTATCTGTCAAAATTTCAAGTTAGCAACAGAAGCGAACACTGCGTGAAAAGGTATGTAAGGAGCATTTTATGATCGGCTGGATATGGCCTTTTTAATATCCATCACGATAGTTGTGGAAGACCCAGGTAAGAGGACATGTAGTAAGTGCATTTTCATGTGTTGTCTCCTAAAGCAAAGGTTGGTCGATACGCATTCATTCGTGTTGAAATCTGTTATAGTTATGGTATTTTAGTGATGAGCCAATCTTCATAACCATAAAGAGGCTTAATGAAGCTGCATGTGGCACGAACCAATACGTGCGCAATTAATGTGAACACGAAGTGAGAAATGAGACGGATTCAAAGATGAGAAAATCTTGGGAATGCAACATAACTCGGCGTTGATTAATACCACTGCTATCTAATAAATGCCTTTAAGAATTCTCGAAGACCGAAGTCCAATTTCTATATCCTCTCTCAGCTGATGTTTATGTCCACCGATACGGATTGGTTTTGGTCTGAGCTATACCAAAAGTTAGCGTGAAAATCACTTTTGTCCTTAAATTCCTTATATATGTGCAGGATGCTAGTATGTTTTATGTACTCCCATCCAAGATATATCAGTACATCAAACAAACAAATTCCTTATAGCCAGCCGGCTTTTAGCAGGCTTGTCACAGAGCAGCTAAGTGCACCATTTTCGATGTTGTTTTCCGCCTTGCAACTCTAGCAAACGTCCCTGAGAGATTATCGTTCCAGCCCAATGATCTTGTGCTGTCGGCACGGGGGAGTCTTACCATGTAACGTGTTTGCCGTGCATTTGAACAAAGGAAGCTTTGAGTCGTATAGCCCGTTCTGTTAGATTCGGGCTGTAAGAGTCGCACAGAAATTGGGTTCGTGTTTTTCTAGCAGGGGCTGACTTGAAGAGCTTTGGCCGTAACAAGGCTCTGATCAACTCTGCTATCTCTAGACTACGCAATTCTAAGACTTATGCTATTTAGACTAATTCTGTATGTAGACGTTCTACTATCTCATATCATATAGAAGTCTAAGTCCCTATTTATCATCTTTTCACCTATTTCCCGAGACAGATATTACCTTGATTTATTCCGTCGGGGTGTATTTCTTAAATTCTCACGTACGAGTCGCGAGTCGCGATCTCGAAGTCCAAGATCAGGCCGTGAGCCAATACTAATGAACGAGTGACCATCATATTTCTTTTGAAGAAGTTCTTAATTTATGGAGCACTTCCATTTACCCGGGTTCCTGTTGGGTATCAGAAGACTTGTTTGATATCGAACTGGTATTATTGTGAGTGCTAACCCAGTGCGCATGAGAGATGCGCTAATATTTGTTTGACAATAACATCTTATTTAACGCACTGCGTGAGACCCGCAACCCGCAATTCACGAATCTCTCTTTTTCGACGATCAAGCTATGACGCATTACATTATTGTCCTTCGGACTCAGTGTGAACCGGATGGACTAGTAGTATACTAATACTAGATATCAGAGTGCTGGTAGTCTCACCAAGTGCGTTTCATTAGTGCAAATGATCAAATGTACATTATACAGATATTAATTCGCTCCCTTTTTATTCTAGATATATGACTTTCTACCTCGTAGAGTTCGTACTTGATTTGGTGACCTTTGAGCCCATCCTCTATGCGTTGGAGATTACAGACTTTACGAGCCAAAAGATTCCTTTATGCGAGGCTCAACGACAATACCTGAGCGGGACACTAGATATACTCCCGCCCAAGATACATTTATGGAAATAATCGCTTAATTTAAGCAAGCTTGTCCCAGAGCGCTGGTCCACAATAAATTGAAGTGTCGTTTTCTTGCACTGCATTTTGTGGTGCTAATATGCAAGGATGAATGCTGCTGCTATACATGTAGTAAAATGTGTTGTGCACTGCACAAAAGTCTTTTCTGAAATTATTAGATGAGCTTTGAAACGCAACTTTCCCTGAACGATTGCGACCTTTGTCACAAATAATTATTCCATTTTAGATTCCAATCCTTTCGTTCTAATTTCAACAACTGCTGTCCTCATCCAGATACTCTCACTTAATCACAAACTTAACCTCGTGTACAAGTTAAGGATAGAAGTGATTTTCACACTAACTTTTGGTATCTTGGTACAAGCCACAACCAATTCGCATCAGTGGACATAAACACTAGCTGAATGAGGATAAATAGCAATCTTCGTGAATTCCTAGAGCCATTTATCAGATTGCGATGGTAGTAATCTACGCCGAGTTGATCTGCATTTCCAAGTTTGTCTCATCGTTGAATTTCGAGTTTTTTTAAAATTTTGTCCGCATTATTTACGAACATTTTAAAAATGCCGCTACATTAAGCTCTTTATGATTCCTTCCTGGGGTCTTCCCACATCTGTCGTGATGTGTACATGGGAAATAACGCTTTTCCAACCGATCTTAACATGCATCTTGCATACCTTTTTACGTACCATTCCTGCAGTCTTCACTTCTGTAGCTCATTCATAATTTTACCTGACAAAAAGCACCTTAAATACAGCATCAAGAAGATTCAATGCGAGGCAGTGGTATCATTTCGACGATTGCTGTACTAATTGCGATGCAAGCGCATGGAGTTTCGAGCACTTTGAGTCGTAAACTTGAGGCCATGAGAGAGAATGAAGATGGAAAAATTCTTCGGGGTGAAGGCGGAAATAAAGCTGGAAAAAATGCTCACGTCGGCAAAACACGAGCCAGCACCATGGAATGGCCCAAAATGGCCCACCGTAAACGACAGTATAAATTTCGGTTACTTGTCGAGCGAGATGAGTCCTGCTGAGAAGTATGCGCGGGCTTTCGGGCTGGATGTGAAAGACTTTATGGATAAAGTTTCAGCTCAGTCTGGCATCGATTCAATGGCAAATCATACCACCCCATGCACCGATCACAGTGAATGCGAGAAGAGTTTTTGCGCTCAGCGTACCAACGCAACATCGGGCTATTGCATTCCAACGTGGTACGGTTTG